AGTAGTCAAGACAAAACCAAAAGAATTTCAAGTATGACTATATTATATATACAGTTTTTCTTTAAGATTAAAGTAGGATAAATCACTTAATCCATCAAAATCAGATAGGAAAGGAACTTCAGGTTGTATAATTCAGTGAGTTTCAAAAATAGAACTTAATTGCCTGAAATTGTGCTCTGATCCATATGCTTCCATGGACAAATGCAATTACTGCCTCTTGTAAACAAGCTAATTGATGTGAGAGAATATAGTTCAGAATATCTTCTATGTGAACAACATTTCACAAAAAGTACAGAGACTTGAGCAATGATCAATAGTAATCATCACAGTCCCACTGGAACAGATAAAACCACTCTGCTCTGTTTGCATCTAGTTCAGTTTTCCTTAAAATAATAAAAACCTTTCCTCTCACTTAACAAAATAAATTAGCTTTTGAAGCTCTTGAAAAAAATTCTTGCTAGCACAAAGGTAAAAAGCATTCACTCAGATGAGGCAATCAAAAATCCCAGAGCAGCTCCAAGATCTGCACTCTTATCAGTGATTGCTCAGTTATTACACAGGTGCCTCTCAGGACAGAAGCATCAAAATGGCAGCAGCTACACTGCCAATAAAATGACAAATTCTAGTAATTCCTGATATTTGCCATCAGACTCACAAATTAAGATGGCACAAGACCTTGTGATCAACCAGTCAGACATTTTCAGAATAAAAAGTTCATGGGATTGCAGTCAATTCATTCGTCCTTGAACTGCAGGGTGACAGTAGCAAAATACACAATTTTGAAGATGTTTCAATCTGCTTACTGTATACTTTAGCTTGTGTCTGTCTACTTTCTAAACCCAAGAGACACATGCCTTCATATGCCCCTGTCTGATGTCACCTTTCTTGTTGTATCAGCCAGATTTGTAATCTTGCTCCAAAAAAGAAATCTTTCAACAAGGTGTGTTTTGTTGCTCTTAATTATAAAACCCAATAAATCAGTTTCCTCAAAGACCAAAAAGAATTTAAGTTCCTGTTTCTCATTAAAAATTAATTTTTAATCACATTTAATATGATACATTTACTTTTAATTTCTTGCCCCTTAAAAATGTTGGCTCTCTCCGAAATATGATTTGCCCAAAAGTGACACCCACACAAGTGGGTGGAAAAGCTAAAATTTTCTGTTTACAAACTGTCTTTGAACAGTCAATACACTTTACAAAATGTGTTTGGCACTGGGTGAATCCAATGTATACACATCACAAAATGAGAACAACTTGTCAAGATTTTATGGAATTGCTTTCACATAAATTATTTGTCAATTTTCTTTGTCTTTGTAATGCTTGGTTCAAATTATGCTGAAATAATTAGAAAGGTACTGACTCCCTTGAGTTTTGCATCAAGTTGTTTACATTAATTTGTTGAATTTTACGTTTTAATACCTAAACTCTTTGAGAAATACTATTGTTCCTTCTTCATTCTGAACTAAATCCTGTTAATTTGTAAACAAAACAGAAAAATGTTTTTTTCTGAAAGCATTGGACCAAAATTACATTTCTCTTGTTCTCTGGATACATCATGGAATTATCAAGGATGAAGGAGACCTTCAAGGTCATCCAGTCCAACCCTGCACCAGCATGATCACCCCCACCCCATCCCCAGGTGCCACATGCAGAGGCCTCCTGAGCCCTTCCAGAGGCTGTAAGCAATGCCAGCTTTAGAAGTGACTCTTGGTGGATTCCAGGATTACCTTGTCTCTGGAGCAGGCCCAGGCCTGGCAGGCAGGCTGGCTGGCTCCTTAGTGAGCATTAACCACACCTGCCTTCTGATCTACAGGAGCAGGAGAGGGCCTGTTGTGCATGAGCTTTGCGTGTGTTTGTCACTGTCCTGCCTCTGACATTTTGATGGCAGGAGATATCAAACCCTGCTATATCCTCATTTCAGGGAGCTGTGGAGAGGCAGGGTCTCCCCTGAGCCTGCTTTTCTCCAGGCTAAACACCCCCACCTTTGTCAGCCACTCCTCATGAGATGTGTTTTCCAGACCCTTCCCCAGCTCCACTCCCTTCTCTGGACCTTCTCCAGCACCTCAGTGTCCCCCCTGCCCTGAAGGGCCAGATCTGGACACAGCATTCAAGAGGTGGCCTCAGCAGTGCCCAGCACAGGGGACAGTCAGTGCCCTTGTGCTGCTGGCCACACTGTTCTTGTTTCAGAGCACGTGTCCTTGGCTTCTTGGCCACCTGGGCACACACTGGCTCTTCACCTTACTGGACCTCGTGCAGTTGCCCTCAACTCATCCACCCAGCCTGTCAAGATGTCTCTGTAGAGAGAGATCAAAATGTGATCTCATGCTTGGTAAAATATAGGAGAACAACATTTCTTGGGTTTGCTGCCATGAAACACATCCCACTGATGACTTTCTTGCCATTTCCTAATTGTATTGAATACCAGAGCAGGCAATTTGTGGGAACAGTTGCTCACACATAATTTCAGGGGATTGGGCACTACCTGTTCAGAAGGACATGTCTGGCAGTCAGAGACAGCTCCCTACCCCAGGCAGAAAGGCTCACCTTGCTTTCACAGGAATGGCCAAGAGATAAACAAATAAACAAACACATTTAGAACATTTTCTGAGCTCTCAGCAGCTTTCTTGCTCTCACCTTATGAAAGGATTTTCCTGATGTTCTGCTGCTACCACAGAACTGTCTGAAAAGGGAGCTACTGTGCACTCACAAGCTTTTGTAAAAGAACAGATTCCATGAACAAAACTGCTGGCTGGGATTATTTATACTTGCAATGGTCCACTGCACAGGATCGAAGGCTTTTAACTGTTGCTGTGAGAATCTATTCTATGTGAAACCTCACAGAAGGAACCTGACACTTGATATTATTTCTTACAGATATTGCAATACTCCCCTCTGTATAGCCTGCCAAAATATTTGCAACCAAGTGCATTTGACTGAAAACTTGGCATTGGACATCCATTAATTATTTTCAATTCACTGAATAGGTAGATTAGTCAGGAAAACGTCACAGTATATACAGGAAAACTAGGGAGCCAATCCCTGGCAGATGCCTTGCCTCAGAATTAGAGTATTTTGACCTTTCAGGGCAGATAGTTTAAGGAAAATGGAAGTTTAACAACAATGCTTCAATTGTTAAATGTTGCAATCAATACACCACACGTGAAAGGCTCTCTCACTAATGAAGACATTCGCAGCAGGCTGAAATGACAAGATTTTAATGCAAACAACAGTATTTGGCTACAGCAAATAAAGGCACAGAAAATGTGTACTTTCACATTTCACTTTCAATTGCACAGGTAAATTGAACATCAGGGTTTTCCTCCAAATCCTCCAAGAAAACCAGATGGAGAGGCTGCAAGGAAAGGTCTGGAAAAGACATTTCCTTATCTTTAACCACCCTGGATCTGCCTGGCCTCTGCCTGCCTCAAGGACAGACATTTGCTGAGGGAAACTGGCAGGGAAGATCATTTCACCAGACCTTTGGATCTGACAATGTTACAAGAGGGCAAACACTACCTAACACCAATGTTAATTCAAAATAAAATCCTTCCCAGTGCTTAAACGTACGTTGCTTTTTCTAAGAAGTGAAGAAAATCTTTCCTCCATCCTAGATTTGCTCCATTTACAGTCAGAGCAGCGCTGATGCTCACGAAGTGCTTGTGACAGAAGCACAGCTCTGCCGTGGCTCGTTAGCATTCCCACATTTGCAGATTGATCTGTTTGCTCTTAGCACCGCTCAGCTCATGCCACAGCTGTATTTCACTCCGTGCTGTGGTGGTGAAACTGCTGTTACAGCCATGATATGAGCTTCAACTTATGAAAGCAAGATTGTAGAGCAGAGTCATATTTTATTGCACAGCAGTTAAAACAGCTGGGAAATTCAGAAACCTGATAATGGGATTGTCAAATGCTTTTCCACATTTCCTAATTTCCATTCCTCTAATGAAAAATATTCCCTCTGCCTTCACATCACACCTCTCTTATTCTTTTATCACCTTCCATAAATCACTCTTCCACTCTCTGGATGAATCAAACTTTTTTTGTCTAAGTACCTGAAAGCCTGTCATGACCATCTAGTATAGAAATGACAAGCACAAATGTAGCCCAGGACATTGCACAGACTGTCACACACTCAGCTGGAAGGCCCCTACCAACTCAGGCTGTTACATGATCTATGGTCCTCTTGGATTTGTTTAGTCTTCATGGAACTTGACAGAAAATTTGCTTTTAAAAAACATTAGGCAGCTTGTTAGGGAATATTAACTAATTTTAATCATATCACTGGCAAAATACTCATACTGCCTTTTAAATGATGGGAACTCACCTTTAAGTGGTTTACATTCAACAGCTGAAAAATAATATTATACAGAAATACATTATAAAGCAAGAGTCAGAGTAACCAGAGGCTGTTCTAGTCTATGGTAATATAGATTGAAACAGCTTAAACTGTAAGATATTGCTCAGCACATAAGCTTGCAAGTATTTCACTGTATACTAGTGAAACCTTACAAACCTAGACATTCTTTTCGAGGAGAATATTCCCAGAAATTTTGAGATCATGTTGGATAGAAACAAGTGCAGCTTACATAAATACTTTGGCAATTCTGATAGCCAAATAACCTTTCCTCAATTATTCTTTCTATTGTTATTTTTTAAAATAATTAATTACTATATTTTAGCTGTTTTTCTACTCTTATAATAGGAAGGTTAGATGATCCAGCACATAAAGGATGTTATGTAACACTTCCATGATATCAAGTAGATTCAATGGATGTAAACACCCTTTAAAGAGGCCTCCCTGGTTGGTTTAAACCTCTGTAAAGCAAAGTGCCAGACCCATTCTAACTGCAGTACAAAGGGAAATTTGGATGTGATTGAGATCATCTGACTACAGATGCCAGAACAGTTGTATTATATAATGCATGTGAGCACAGCTGCTTCCTTATCACAGGACTCGAGAGGGATGCATCCCACGTCAAAGGGCAGAGCTGCCTTCCCTCCTGCTTCCCAATCAATCCCCTGCATGGGGTACTTTAAATGGGCCACTGACAGCACAGAGACTGCCCAGAGCATGGGACACAAGGACCAGGTACCCAACCACCCCTCCCTGAATGCTGTTTTCCACACGCAGCAGGTAGGATGTCCGCTCCTTTCCTTGAGGCACCTTTATGTGGAATAACACAATTAATTTCTCTGGGAGCTAAAGGGATATAGCCAGTCAGAGCCTGATTTGGGAGACCCTGGGGTGCCATTTGCCAGGCATTCTTGTGCAATGAGTCTGCAGGAAAGCTCTCACTCACACACAGGGAGGAAGCCATTTCTAATCTACTTTTCCCCTGGGAACACCATATTATTGAGTGAGTTCTGCAATTTAGTCAAGACCTACCCAAACACACTAAAATTTCAGTGTTACTGGGTACATATGACACACACATTTTGATCAGCATCAACCTTTTAAGAGAGGGTGAAATGTAAAGTACCTAGACAGAAGGAACCAGAGTTTCAGCAAGGTTTTACTAACTTTCAATATGTGATCACTCTAGTCCAGTTGTCCTTCACAGGTTTCCATTTTGAAACCTACTTTGATACTTTGCTGTTCAGAATACATGTGAAAGGGAAGAAGTTCCAGTAATCAATATTTTATTATTTGATTTAAAAATTACAGTGTGATAAATACAATCTTAAATTAGGTTTTCCAGTAATTCTCACAGAATTTTCTGCCTTCCATGTGAATATTTTCCAGTTCACACGATGATCATGTTCCACACAACAAGTACTTATATATTTAGGGGTTGAACACAAAAGATCTCTGTGTCCAAGGCTGAGAGAGTGAATGGCAACACAACTCCTCTGGCCTCTGGGGTGACCAGTAAAGTGAAAAGAGTGAAGAAAACTGGCTGGTTCTAGCATGAATTGGGTGTTAGTACTGAACTAAAACTGATTCTCTTGACTGAAGGCTGGCCAAAACGTAGTGACTGTGAGAAGAAAGGTAGATGTCAAAGACAACCTCTGCTGTCAGAAATCCAGAGGCTCTGTTCAGAGATGGGGAATCTGAGGGAGCAAAGGTGGGTCAGTGATGTATGAAAGAAAAAGGGTCTGGCAGGGGCTTCATTTCTATTCTCACGCAAGGCTGGGAACACTTAGAATTTTATTTTTTTTTCCTTACAAGGTGACTTTCTATAAATTATACACAAGATTCTACCCTTGAGACCCTAGCATAAAAATACAAAGCCTCAATCAGATTTACATTAATTGGAGGATATCAGGCTGCTGTACTCCTTCAGGTGCAATATCATTGAACAATTCTTCCCAATCTGTTACCAACAAAAGGTTTTATTACAGTTCAAGTCTTTGATTTTAACTTGTCTAGAACAATTTACTTTCCATGTCCCATAAAGGTGAGAATAGGAGTTATATAGGGTACAGGAAACTGTGATGAAAAATCTGCAGAATGGGCTTGGCCATACTGGATATTTCCCTCTGGTCTGGTTTCTGGCAAGTTGCAGTAATGTAACCTGACTCTCAACTATCCTGACCTGTGGCTATTGTCACATACTTTCCCAAATCATCCACAAGATGTTGAATGAACTCATCATAACTTGTTTCTGTTATGCAACCACATGAAGAATACAACTCTGTATCATGGTCTGATGGCCCAGAATAACTGCAGAAATGACTCAGTATCCAGGGAAAACTTTCAAGCTTGCAAAAAACATGACATGTTCCTGGAAAGCAACTGTTAAACTCTGACTAATGCATTCTCCTCTTTTCTTTTCCTTTTTTTTTTTTTAAATCTATCCATACAGGTTTTGAAGCTCTGAATGCTCCTGGGCACTGAGAACAATGTGAGGTGGAGACTGTCGAATAATGTCTGAGCAAGTGGGAGCTCAGGCAGGACAACACTCTGTTACGTGATATTTTGGGAACATTTTGAGGAAATGCAGCAGTCCAAGGGCCTAGAGCCAGACACTTCCTTTTTGCCCAGGCAGTCCATATTGCCAGGGCACCCATTAGGTGTCCTGGAAGGACTGAAGCTTGGCCCCAAGTGATCTGCTTCTGCAAGCACAGCTCTTGGACTGGCTGAGCCATCCTGCTGCCTGGCTTTGAGTCCCACGTGCTCCTGGCCAAGCCAGGGAGAGCAGCTCTGGGGACTTCAGGAATCATGTCCCTGATACAAACCTTACAAAAGCAAAGCTCCTCTCTCTTGTCTCTCCATTCCAGCTGGAAACCTCCTGACACCACATCCAGAAATGTACCTGCAGTGAAGTAAAACCAGATGAAAGTGGACCCTAAGTGTAACTGAATATTAAGAACCAGACTGTGCTTCCCCACTGTGTTAACAACTGTGACTGACTACCCAAAAGAGGGAAAATATAAATCAATCCCACCTGGAACTCACCTAGAGTTTGCCCCTGGGAAGATCAGCATCAATGAAGGTAACACAGAAAGTTTGAATTTGTGAAAATATTCTGATATATAGTCCTCATTTTGTCTCAGGCTACTTCACACTATTCCGGTGTCCTGCATTAAACAGACCTCACATTCAAAATACACATGGTGGGAATGCCACAAAATTTTCATTAGAAACTTTGATGTAGAGTTTAACACAAAATAGTACCAGCTGAGCATGCTACAGGATCACAGACGTCCTGGAGGAAAGTACACAAAACCCCATTTTGTTGGAAACAGCTTTACACCTTGTACTAAGGAGGTCAGCGGGCTGAGAACCAAGGTGCTCTACTCTGGTTTGTTTGCCATGGAGAGAGCCTTGGGCAAACTCTTTTCCCTCTCTCTTTCTCAGTGCATGTGTTCCTGTGTGTGATTGGCATTAAAAAGACACAGTGGGAATTTCTGAGACTCGTAGCATGCCTTGAAACACTCAAAAAACCACCACTATTGCAGTTCTGACTTCCAATAGCCCATCATGAGAAAATTACCATATATTATAATCAAAGCCATAGAGCTGCTAAAGACGACGTGTATTGTAATAGATGAGCAGGAATTTCAACAGCCTGAGCCAGCAAGGGAAACTCTTTTCCCACTGACATGGCCTCCAGCGATGTACGGATGCGGCCCTTTGTTTTCTCCAGAGCAATGGTGACATTTTAGATCATCTGTTGTGCTATAAATGGAATCCTGTGATCTGCTGAACATTTGCTACCTGGAAGGCCATTTCCTGCTGCCTGAGTCGTTAACTTCCTTGGATGACATTGCCACATCTGTAACAAAATGATGTAAAGTGCTGCTAATTTACAAGGCTGCTGTAGTGCTGATATTTTAAACTGCTTGGGTGTGAATAGCAAAGGCTGGCTGGTGTTTGAAATCCCTGCAGCACTATTAGCTCACTGTGGGTGATATTTGAAATACTTGTCTCTGAACTGGAGGAACATGGATTTGACAGATGGAACACTCAGTGGATCAGGAATTGGCTGGATGGTTTCACACTAAGAGCTGTGGTCAATGGCTTGATATCCACAGGAAAGGAGCAACAAGTGGTGTTTCATCAGGGGTCAGTTCTGGGACTGGCACTCTTTGACATCTTTGTTAAAATACACACAAGTTCTGCTATACTGATTTTACAACTATAGCTATTAAATTATTCAAATCTAAACAAGAGACATGCCAGACTGTCAAAACACTCAAGAAGAAGCTTTTTTCAAGTTCAAGTCTGTAGCTACATTTCCTCCATGTAGGCTGACAATCAATAAACACAAGAACAAGAAATCAAGAAGTCTCTTGGGTAACACCTCATTACTCCAGTGCTCACCCCTTAGGCTGGGAGGAAGAACAGCCCTCTCCTAGCTAATCCAAATTCTCTTCTTTCAAAATATAGAATGTAAATGAGTTTAGCTGCAGATAATGATGTTTCTGTTATTAGTAACACCCTGAATAGATTCAAACCCTGACTGGGAATTTAACTCCTGGGGGCTTGGCTTAGCAGGATCTCCTTTTATATGCCTTGTTCAGTGTAGAGTGTTAAATGGCTTCAGAGTCCTCTCCAGGGACACTGATAGTCCTGCACGCTTCATCACAGGCTATTACACACTCAGATTCACTGGGCTGAACAGCTGGGGACAATACATATAACTTCAAAACATCCATGAAGCTCTTCAATCTGTCTGCAATTATTCAGCTGTAATTCTGAAGGCATTTACTGACAGAAAATAGGAATTGGCTATGAAATCCTTTTCTTCTGTGTTGTTTCTCTGGCTGTCTGGAGAGGCTGAAACAGAGGCTTTTAGTTTAGATTTTAAGACACAATTTTATGGCAAATATAAGCTGGCCAGCTTGAGTTGCAGTGGAAGCAGCCTCCTGAATCAGTTACCTGGGTAGGATATCTTTTCATCTTCACAAAAATGGCCTCATTTCTAATGGCCAGGACTTGTCTGTGTTGGGATTACCATCAGGAATAAACCACAGCTTCTTCACCCAGTTACCTCATCACCCTACGGTTTGTATCTCCCATGCCAACTATTCTCAGTACTATTCTCAACTATTCTCAAGTCTCCTCAGGAGAGAAGAGGCACTGCCAGCAGCCTGCAGCCCCACTGGAGCTGTTTCTCTTTCTTCCATACCACCACAGAGACTCCTTCCCCTTCAGGAAAGTGGTTAAACTTACATGGAATAAATCTGGCCTAGCTATTCCAATTTGCTGAGTCCCAGAGGAAGACATTATTAAAGGGCACATGTAGTCCTGAATAGGACTTGCAGCATGTTTTCACTTGATTTTTATTTTTTTTCTGTAGCAATGGGGTCTTCACAGAAATTGAAATTTCATTTAAATATGGATTTTGGTGAAAGTGATTTTTCAAATTATAAGCATTTAAATAAGTTTTAAATATTTTCAGAATGTTGCCTTTTATTTAATGAAATTAATTTTATGCTTCCTTGCATTTAATAGCCATTGAATAGCTTAGACATTTCTAAATAGAAGGTGGAATATTTTATTTAAAACATTCATAATTTCTTTCTTCTCAGAAAATCTGCTTGGTAAATTTTTTTTAAAAATGTGCTCATCCTGGCTTTGAACACAAAGTTCTCAAACTGTGGAATTTCCTAAAAGCCAAATGAAGGAAGCGCTGCCAAAATCTTCTTTTGCCTCTTTTGAAAACATATAGTTCATTCAGTTCAATCGATTTCCATCAAATTGATCAGATAACATTGTCATCTAATTAATTCTATACAAATTCATGTACCTTCAACAGAGAATTGGCTGAAGATAGAGGCTTTCTTTAGTTAATATAAAGACAAACCAGTTTATTATAATGTTCCTTGGGGTAATAAATCCACAATGACCTTAACCATGATTTTTTCTGTCAGTTCAAAAACATAATCTTCATTCTCGGTTAGCCAGGTGATTTAGTGTGTTCTTCAACTGCCCAGCAACAGATTCTCCCATTTATGCCTTCTATTTGTTCTTCCAACATTGCTGATCCAGGTAATAAAGAATGAGGTTCACAGCTATTATCCCTGGTTAATCCTTCATAATTGTCTACATGTTAAATCAGGGATATTTATGCTGAACAGCATTTAGTGCAGTACCTTCACCGTGTGCATCAGGCAAACTCAAAAAAAAAATGACCTTGACTGACACAGAGGCCATTTCAGATTACAATTCTCTAAAAATACCTCATTTGGAAGCATTAGGTAGATGCAGCCAATGACCCTTGTCCTTCCATGTAACTGTTGGTTTCCACAACACATTGATGATACTTTTTAAAAAATGCCCTCCCTCGCCAGAGGAAGAAAGCCATAAATGTCAGAAGTTGTCCCCACAGGCTGTTTGCACACAGGCAAAGCTCGTTTGCATACAGGTACCTTCTTTTATCCTTCATCACTCACCTGAATTATGTTCTGCTCTACTTGAGCAGTATGCAATGCCAAAATCGGTTTTCTCCCAAGGGATGTTTTTTTTTTGACCTGATTTTCACAGACAGTGTGAAGAAATTGAACCCTAACAAGAAAAGAAGGCAAGAGGGGTAGTAGGTTTAGTTCAGGGCTAAAGAAAACAAAGTCTTTTATTCCTCATCATTGTCACAGGTGACATCAGGAACACTGAACAGCAATGGTACAGGCTCACAAAATCCCAGGATGGCTGAGGTTGGAAGAGACTCTGGAGACAAACTTGTCCAACCCTTCTGCTCAGGTATCCCTGAGGATGGAGACTCCTCAGCCTCCCTGGGTGACCTGTGCCACTGCTCGGTCACCCTCACAGTGAAGAAGTGTTCCCTGACGTTCAGAGGGAGCTTCCCCTGTCTGTTTGTGCCCTTGGCCTCCTGGCACTGCACTCACACCAGTGAAAAGAGTCTGGCTGCTCTCTCTTCACAGCCCCCTTGAGGTATCTTCACGTGAGGGGATCACCCTGGGCCTTCCCCTCTCTGGCTGGGCAGTCCCAGCCATCTCAGCCTTTGTGAGGTGCTCCAGGCCCTGAAATCCTCTCAGAGGTCCTTCATCATCCTTAATCATCTGGGATCCTCTGCTGGACTCTCCAGTAGCTCTCTGTTTTGACTAAGTAATTTCAATAATTATTAAACTTTATTGTTTTCAGGCAGTCAGAGAACACAAGCAGAATAAATGACTGTGATCCCAAGAGCACAAAGTAAAAATATATTAAAAAAAAAAGACAAAGAAGAGATACACACCAAGGTGAAGCAAATTTGCCAGGTGAGACCATCATCTTTTGTTCTAGCTCAACAAGAAACTTAAAAGCACACAAAAAATTTTGCTTTAAGAGTGTCCTCCAGTGCCTGCTAGGGAGTGACTATTGGAAGGTGACATTTTCTTTTTCTTGTGACTGGTTATGTGCCCTGGGAAATGTAAAAATATCACCAAGGTATGCATAAGAGAGGAGTTAATTAGTTTAACTTCCTGATGGGAATATATTAACAGTGTAATAAGATGCTCAAATACTCTTTTTATGATTGTCCCTGCCAAAATAGTTGTTGGAAAGATTTTTGTAATACAAAAACTTTCATCCTCCATATGGAGATCCAGATGCTGACTCTGATCTTTGCATGGCAGAGGTCACTGCAAACATTCAGCCTCTAGATCTCAGCAGCAGCACCTCTGAGACTGTGACTGGAAGGATCCTGTGTCAGGATCAATATCTATAGACAGCTTTCTCCTAAATTCCTCTACAAACCCAATCATTTCCCTGTACATAATCCTTTGAGAGGAAGAATTTATTTTTTTTTTAATGCCATCCAGTACTTTCCTTTTTTAAACTCCTTTGTAGCCAAGTTCAAATGCAATTTGTCCTGCACAGTTATTGCCCCAAGTGAACAACATAATTAATCATCTATTCTTATGTATTTGTGACTTAAAATGACTTTTAGCTAAACACTCCTACCCTAAGTCTCCCCTTGATTAAGCCTGAACATATAAGCATGAATTTTATTACTGTGTCTTCTCCTTCTGTCATCCAGGATGTCACTTTGGAATTTAATCCAGTGAAAACAAAAATAATATGTTGATTTCCCCGCTGTTCTAAAATATGTAACCTACTTTCCATTTGAAATATTTTTTTAAATATATTTTCAGTTAACTGGAATGACCACTATATTTTCTTATGAATTTCTTTCTAAAATTACACACAAAATACCTTCCTGCTTGCATACTGAATATGAGGGGTGTAGAATTATATTCCTTATAATAAAAACCTAAACCAACTTCCAGCTTCTTTATAACTGTCTAGACAAGAAAAATCTTCTCAAAAAGTCCCACTAACCTTAGGATCATCACTTAAAGGACACTGTCTCCTAGGCTATTTATATTTTTATCAGCATCTGATAAAAATCTGTGGGAAGGACTCAGTCGTTTCTATTTCCCTGCTTTAAAAAGTCAAATAATCAC